CATAAAATGTCTAGAATAGGTACATCTACAGAGACAGATTAGTGGTTGCCTTGGGCAATGGGAGAAGGAGCAGGACAGTGAATGACTGCTAGCGGGCGTGGGGTTTCTTGTGGGGGTGATGATAATGTTCTAAACTTAGACCATGGTAAGCACTGCACAACTCTGTGAATATACTGAATACAAATGAATTGTATACTTAATGGGTAAATGGTACGTCAATTTTATCTCAATAAGGCCATAAAAAGAAAAAACACCTTTTCTAAGCCTTGTTGAAGAGATGCTCTTGTGATGCCTGGCAGGAAATAATATCTGAACACATTTTCTCATTTCATCCACCCCCTAAGCCTAAGAAATATGAAAGTGGATGATTCTGCTGGAGTTATCTATACATTCCCGGAGCCTGATCTGAGACTGATGCTTCCCGTCCTTGCTCCTCCCCTTTAGCCATGACCTATTCCAAAACCTTCCATACGTTCTCTGCCATAGAGATGCTAAAGAAATACAACAGTCGCTCCCCTCCAACCACAGCTTTGTTTTTTGTGATTTCAGTTACCCACAGTCAACTGCGGTCCAGGAACAGATGATCCTCCTCCTGACATGTTGTCATAACGTCAGCAGTAGCCTGATGCTGCCTGCATCATTCACCTACTTCATCTCATCACGTAGCCATTATATCATCTCAAGTCATCACAAGAAGGGTACATATGGCACAATAAGATACTCTGAGACAGAGACCAGATTCACATAAATTGTGCCACAGCATATTGCTGTAATTATTCCATTTTATTATTAGTTATTGTTGTGAATCTCTGACTGTGCCTAGTTCATAGATTAAACTTTGTCATAGGTATATATGTGTGGGAAAATATATAGGGTTTGGCACTATCCACAGTTTCAGGAATCCACCTGGGGTCCTGGAACATATTTCCGATGGATAAAGGGAAACTACGATACACTGCATATCAATCTTCACAAATACACTGTCACTATTGACTGCCTACACACTGAAGGTACCCTACCTTTCTGTAGGCTTGGTTTTCAGGAATATATGCTCTGTGAAGGCTGGAGCCACTGTCCCTGGAAGTCCTCACCCACGGCCACCACCACCTCACTATGCAGGCTAAGCTAGTGTGCAATAATTCTGGATTATAATAATGTCATTTCCAACCTTCCCTGCCCACCCCCAATACCACTCACCCTAGAGGCACATCTGAAAAACCCCTATTGCTCAACCTATAACGTGCCTACAAATCACTGGGGATCTTACTTAAAAGTAGACTCAGTAGGGGTGAGGCCTGAGACTCTGCATTTCTAACCAATATGCAGGTGATGTCCACGTCGCTGGTCTGTAAACCATTTTGAATATCAGGGTCCTACATGGTTCTGATGGAAATGGTTAGGGAACCACACCTGAGAAACATCCCTCGGAAGTCTCACTGCTATAGAGCTTTCTGCTGCATGTGATACATCCAGGGCTTTTGTCTCAGCTTATTAATATTCTAGGGAAGAGGCTGGTCGAGCCAATATTGCACTGATTAAGATTGTACTCCCCTGAAGCGTTCCCCTTAGTGCAGTGGTGTGAAAAGCAGAATCAACATCACTTGGAAACTTGTTAGAATTAGAAAAGTGAATTCTCAGGCTCCACCCGGACTTACTGAATCAGGAACAATGAATTTGAGTTTGAACAAGCCTTATAGGTGATTCTGGCATTGCTAGAGTTTGAGACCCTCTATCCTGGGTAACAACAGTGTCTGGACTGCATGGCCCCCAGGTCTGCACCATCTAGCCCTATACCACCCCACCCCCAGCTTTCTTTCTGCTCCTCTAATATGTCTTGAGATCTTCTTAGCTGCTATTCTTTTTGCCTGGTAAGGCAAAGCAGAACTTTTTTTTAATAAGAAAAGCTGCTTCCTTGGGACACGTGGGTGGCTCAGCAGTTGAGCGTCTGCCTTCAGCTCAGGGTGTGATCCTGGATCCCCGGGATCGATTCCCACATGGGGCCTCCTGCATGGGGCCTGCTTCTCCCTCTGCCTGTGTCTCTGCCTCTCTCTCTCTCTCTCTTTCTCTCATGAATAAATAAAATCTTAAAAAAAAAGAAAGAAAAGAAAGAAAGAAAAGAAAAGAAAAGAAAGAAAGAAAAGAAAAGCTGCTTCCATATTCTGAGTGGGCACAGCATCTAATCATTTAAGTGTATTTTCTTTGACTCTCCCTTAAAGGCTAAAGGCTCCTCTTCATCTATAACTTAAGGAAGGAGGCATCCATTGCCCTGAAAGGGCCTTCTGTGGAACCGGCTTCAACCTCCTCCCCATGTAGACCCTGGGAACCCAAAACTATCTCTGGCAGAAGAGCAGAGTCAAGGAGCCTCAAGGAGGAGACTATGCCCACTTCCTCTTCTTCAGAGTCAATGTTTTTATAACTTTCCCCCTATTCTTTGTTGGGGTGAAGTCAGTCAACAAGAAAGGGAACCAGGCAAAGGGAAACCAATGCCATGCAGAGCAGGAGGTTGAACTGGTGATCAGGGATCAACTCACTCACAGGCCTAAAAGTCAGCAGGAAAAGATGACTTTGGCCCAAGCCAGTCACACAGGCCCACAGGCTGTGCTTTGGGACTGAGCACTGAGCACATGGAGTCTGGCATCAGCATCTAGCCTGGTGAGTCTTCTTCATGGCTGTGTCTGCAGCACCTAGCACAGCACTGGGGTAAGGTAGGAAATGCAGTAAGTATCCTGTGTACTGGCTGCTGCAAGCTGCAAGCTCACTGGAATCACTGAAATCAGCCTCTTCATTCAACTGACCCAGAAACTGAAGCCCAGAAAAGTTAAGTGACTTCCCTTAACACACAGCCAACAAATGGGAGCCCACCTAGAACCCAGACCTTCAGACTCCCAGGGCTTTCACTCTAGCTAAACTCCTTATGGCCCCACTCCTTGCTTTTCTGAGATTTAAGATATACTTGGGGAAATAGTTCAGGGCTTGAATTTGTTTTAATTAATATTAAATTTTGATGTGGAGGAAGAGGGCCTCAGAAAAAAATCATTTCAATGTGAAACTATTTTTGATCACTTTGGGTCTTTATAATCTCTAGCTCCCAGGGCTGTAAATATTGCTGATAGAACAGCACTGATATTGGGCTGGAGGGGGCAGGCCTAGAGTGTAATCCAATTTCCTGAGTTACATTCATATGTGAAGAGCTAGCAAAACTGAAACATGGGGTTGGGCCTCATTTCCTATAAACACTCCTGGATTAGTGAAAAGGGGCATTAGAGATGAACTTCACAGCTGGGTTTTGTTTTCTGGGTTTTACACTAGAGGAAAGACATGTTAATTGATACAAAGTCAAACATTTATAAAAAGATTTTAAAAATCTTAATGAAAAATAGAAATGAAAAAATTCCTTGAATAAGCATAAATATTGATTAGACTCTATACAAGTGCCTGTAAATAAAATGATTTTCTAAAATTATCAGAATGCATTATTTATTATATATGTCACTGAGGTAGGATAATAGCATATTATAGGAAAAAGTGAGGATTATAGGATTTTTTTAAAAGGACAGGGTGAGACTCACAAGCAGCTCAGTTGTAGTATTGGCTGAGCAGAGGCTTCAGGATCCCTCTCTGACAATTAAGAGAGCACCCCAAGCTGTGATGATGACATATAGAAGGATCCAGAGGCTGTGGAACTCAAGAAATCTACTCCATAAAGGGAAGGGCACACCTTCCAGCAATGACGTGTATCATAGTAATAACATCAGTAGCAACTGTTATTCTATTACAAATAATCTTGCTGTATCTTAAATAATTTTTAAGCTAAGAACTTTATTTTCATCAATTTCTTCTCATAGAAGTATACCTATGATGTATATAGACCAGATGATGTGCCAATTTTATTTATTGAGCACCTATCATGTGCCAGGCAACAGGAAACAATGTTGAGAAAAACAGAAATGTCCCCTGCCTGAAGGGAGTGAACAGTCTTGTGGGAAGGCAGATATTAAACAGTAATTCTGCACGAAGAAAATTTCTGCTCTTTGTATCCGTCATTCAACAATCATTAAAATCCTGCTTCATGCTACACACACTCTTGCTAGGCACTAGGACACAAAGATGACAAAGACACAGCCCCAGCCTGGAGGAACTTCTGTCTAGGCAGGAAGAGAGACTCCAAACAAAAAGTAATGCTGAAGAAGGAGAGGAGACTTCACCAAAAAGGAGACATTTGAGCTGAACATGAAAAAAAACTAATAGGATATTTGCTTTCCTGAGAAATGGAGACTTGTAGGCAGAAGAGGAAAAGAGCATGCTGTGCTCAGCTGTGAAGGAGACGAGGCATTGGGGTGGGTGGGCAGTGGCTGGAGGGTTAAGGAGGAGCTGTAGGTGAGGCTGGTAAAGTAGACGGTGGGGCTGGCTCATGCAGCGCTGAGAATTCCTACACTGCAGAGTCAAAACATCCTCTGGGTGAGAGGGTGCCTTTAGGGTCTCAGTAAAGCATCCCTATAATCAACTTTTCACTTTGGAAAAAAGAATTCTGTGTCCAATATAGGGTATGGTTTGAGGAGTAAGACACATGGGTGAGGTCAGTTAGGAGTTACAATCTGCAAAAGGACAGTTCAAATAAAGATTTAAAAAGAGGGGGAAAAAACTATATAAGAAAGAGACAAAACTGTCCAATAACTGTAGGCTGACAATGCTGTGTGCTATAGATCCCATCAACATTATTTCATGTAAGCCCCACAACACCATTACTAAGAAGGTGTTAGTGCTCCCATTTTATAAATGAGGAAACTGAGGCACAGAGAATTTAGGTAATTTCCCCAGGCCACATGTCTAGTAAGAAGCTGGAGTCTGGACTCAAAGCCACTCACCCATTACCATACCTTGCCCAGAGTGCACACTCAGTAAACGTCTGTCCTGGCTAAGGGGGTTGCCCAGCAAGGAGCAAATGCAGTGAACAGTGAGGAATTTCAAAGGAGAGAATGGTCAGAGTGACTCTTGCCCACCTGGTGACAGTCTTCACCCTGTAGTCTCTGGAAGTGTCATCCAGCCTCCCTGCCCTCTGATGGAGAAACATCTAGGAAACAAAGAACAGTCTCTGGGAAGATCCACCAAAACCTCATTTGTTGAATAAAGGGTGATAAAATGGCAAGAAACCGACCACAGGGAACAGAAACTGTGGACTCTGGCTGGGACTTCCTTTTCCACCCACTCTGCCTATTCAGCAGGCCCATACATCACTTTTCCCTCAGACTGTTAATTAGAGAGACACCCACCATCCTGACACAACACGTTAATTATGAAAACAGAGAGCTGTGCACAACATAATATGGAAATGAAGTGACATGCATCCAATTAATTAAGCTTTCACAGCTCCAATCGGTTTTAATTAGAGAAGCTATCCTTTTGACTCTCCTCTCAATCAATAAATGAACTTTGCAATACATACATATTTTTAATCAATTAGCAAGCAGGAAAAAACAGTATAAGTCTGTTGCTGAGGGCACCATGAATTCCTTCATAGGCTACACCATGTGTATTATCCACTTTATTCTTGGTTGAATTTACAAGCAACACAGGTTGAATCTCTACAGCTTGTTTCCAAGTTCGATGAAAAATGAAAGCTGAGAAATGCAAGCCCCATTGTTTCCATACAACCCCTTACCCTTTTTGTTTATAGACCTCGAAAATGTATTGAGGACTCCAGGAATTAAGAAAGGCTCATAGTACAATGTCAGCAGATAAGCTCAAAAGCTGTGTTTTTTCAGGTCATCAGTATACTGTGTATCCTTGACCAAAGGAAAGCTCCTCCTCTCCAGAAAGAGCATCCTCTTTGATGCATGCATATGGTTTCTGGAGGGCAACCCATAGATCAAGGAAGTCCAGACGGGGGGGTGGGGGGACACTCAGACCCTCAGGTCAGCCAGCTCAGCCCTAGCAATTGATGGAGCCACACTTAGGCAATCAGATTTGTTTCACATGTGATCTTCTCACACCACACATCTGGTGCTTCCAATAGGCTGCAATGTGTTGTCTTCCTGTTTAATCCCCCAGGTGGATTTTTAAATGCCTATACTGGGGAAGAGGAAGGTCATAAGAATGGAATAAGCAAAAGGTCAGTACCCATGGGACTCAAAAGGTATAGAAAAAATAAGGTGTAGAATGGGTTGGGGAGTTCAGGAAGCTAAAGCATAGAATGAGATATAAAGGCAGGAAACTCATTTTATGCAATAATTACTGCATAGGAACCCTTCCAAACTCATTTTACAAGGCCAGCATTAGCCTGATATCAAAACCAGACAAGGACGCCACAGGAAAATAAAATTACAGGTCAATATCCCTGATGAACACAGATGCAAAAATCTGCAACACAAAATTAGCAAACAGACTTCAACAATACATTAAAAGGATCATATACCAGGATTAAGCGGGATTTATTTCAGGGATAGAGGGATGGCTTTACAACCACAAATCAACGTCATCTACCACATTAACAAAAAGAAGGGTAAAAATCATACAGTCCTCTCAATAGGTACAGAAAAAGAATTTGACAAAATTCAACATCCAACTATGATAAAACTTTCAACATAATAAAGGTCTTATATGACAAGGCCACAGCTAACACCACACTCAACAACAAAAATCTGAAAGCTTTTCCTCTAAGGTCAAGAACAAGACAAGGATGCCCACTCTTTCCACTTTTATTCAACATAGTATTGGAAGTCCTAGCCAGAACAATTAGGAGAAAAAAAAAGGAATAAAGGTCATCCAAATCAGAAAGGAAGAAGTAAAATTGCCACAATTTGCCGATGACATATTATATTTAGAAAGCTATGAAGACTCCACTAAAAACTGTTGGAGCTAATCAACGAATTGAGTAAAATTGCAGAATATAAAAATCAACATACAAAAATATGTTGTATTTCTATACATTAATAATGAACTATCAGAAAAAAAATTAAGAAAGTAATCCCATTTGTGATTACAGCAAAAATAATGATATACCTAGGAATAAACTTAACCATGGAGGGGAAAGACCTATACACTGAAAACTAGAAGATGTTGATTAAATAAATCGAAGACAACAAAAATAAATGGAAAGATATTCTATGTTCATGGAGTGGAAGTATTAATATTGTTTAAATGTCTATAACACCCAAAGGGATCTACAGATTCAATGCAATCTCCATGAAAATCTCAATGGCAATTTTTTTACAGAATTAAAATAAATAATTCTAAAATTTGTATTGAAATTACAAAAAGCCTGCAGAGACAAAGCAATCTTGAGAAAGAAGAACAAAGCCAGAGGTATCATGCCCCTAGATTTCAATCTACACTACAAAATCATAGTAATCAAACAGTATGGTATTAGCATAAAAACAGATACATAAATCAACAGAATAGAATAGAGAGCCCAGAAATAAACCCCCACCTATATGGTCAACTAACTTATGACCCAAAAAAAGCTAAGAATATACAACTTGGAAAAGGATAGTCTCTTCAATGGAGTTGGGAAAACTAGACAGTCCCGTGCAATAGAATGAAACTAGACCACTACTGTACACCACGGACAAAAATCAACTCAAAATGGATTAAAGACTTAAACATAGGATCTGAAACCATAAAACTCCTTAGAAAAAAAACATAGGCAGTAAGCTCCCTGACATTAGTCTTGGTGATGATTTTTTAGATTTGACAACAAAAACAAAAGCGACAAAAGCAAAAATAAATAAGTAGGACTACATTATACTAAAAAGCTTCTGCACAAAGGAAATAATCAACAAAATGAAAAGGCAACCTACTGAATGGTAGAAAATATTTGCAAATCATATATCTGATAAAGGATTAATACCCAAAATACATAAAGAACTTATACAACGCAATACCCCCAAAAAATGTCTGTTTAAAAAAAATGGGTAAGAGATTTGAACAGACATTTTTCAAGAAAACACATATAGATGGCCAAAACGTGCATTAAAAGATGCTCAATATCACTAATTATCAGGGAAACACATCAAATCTACAATGAGATATCATCTCACACTTGTTAGAATGGCAGTTATCAAAAAGAAAGAACAAGAGTTGGTGAGGATATGAAGAAAAGGGAATCCTTGTGCACTGTTGGTAGGAGTATAATTTGGTACAGCCACTATGGAAAACAGTTTGGAGTGTTCTCAAAAAATTAAAAACAGAACTACTATATTATCCAACAATTCCACTTCTGGGTGTTTATCTGAAGGAAACAAAAACACTAACTCAAATAGATATATGCACTTGCCCCTCCCGGGTGCACTGCAGCATTAGTTACAATAGCCAAGACATGGAAGCAATCTAAGTGTCCACTAGTGATGAATGGATAAAGATGAATGGAATATTATTCAGTCATTAGAAAGAAGGAAACCTTGTCATTTGCAACAACATGGATGGACTTCGAGGGTGTTACGCTAAGCGAAATAAGCTAGACAGAGAAAGACAAATTCCGTATGATCCTACTTATATGTGGAATCTAAAGTAAAAAGTGAACTCAAAGGCACAGAGTAGAGAATACACTGGTGATTGCCAGAGGCAGGGGTTAGAGGTGAGCAAAATAGGTGAAGATGCACAAAAGGCATAAATTTCCAGTCATAAAATAAATAAATCCTGGGCATATAATGTAGAGCAAGGCAACTGTAGTCAATATTATACTGCATATTTGAAAGTCGCTAAGAGAATAAATCTTAGACGTTTTCAATACAAGAAAAGAAATTTTAACTGTGTGGTAATGTATGTTAACTATACTTATTATGGTGTTACTTCTTAATATATACAAATAACAAATCATCATATCATACACCTGAAACTAATAGGATGTTATACATCAATTATACTTCAACTTAAAAAATACAATTCTGCATAGTAAGGAAAGCAAAACAGGAGGAGCTAAAGAGCATAGGTTCACAAATACCTACACCTCCATCCTGGACATAGTAGTCAATCACAGCTCCCTTTGGCACTGATTCCAAAAATGACTTCAGAAATCGTATCAGTTGGTTTAATTTCAGAAACCTTGACTCAAACTGGCTTAAACAATATGGAAATATATTTCTCACATAACAGAAAGTCTAGAGGGCCAGACTGGGGGTAGATTGAGGGTTGGTTGAATCAGTGGTCAATGAAGTTGTCAAGGACCCTGTTTCTCTCCATCTGTCTCTTTTGCCATGTTTAAAGTTGGCTTAGGATTCATTCTGGTTCCAAGGTGGCTGTGGCAAAAATCGTATCCAGGATGACAAGATACAGAGGATACAAGACCACTTGTAGGAGAAAAGTTACCTTTCCCAGAAACCCTCAGCAGGCTTCTTCTCACGGCACAGTGCTCAAAGGTAGACTGCTTGCCTTTTCCTAAATTATTCAGGGAAGGAGATGATCCTGGCAGCTTTAAACTCATCCATTTTAACTGGAATGGATGTTAGGCAATTAACCATTGTGTTGTTCCCTAAGAAGTTCTCATTCTTCACAGCATCATGGTGCCCACTACTAACTACGGTTCAAATTGGCACCAAAGGGGTGCTTGGGTGGCTGAGTGGTTGAGTGTCTGCCTTCAGCTCAGGGCATGATCCTGGGGTCCTGGGATCAAGTCCTGCATCAGTCTCCCCACAGGGAGCCTGCAGCTCCTTCTGCCTATGTCTCTGCCTCTCTCTGTGTGTCTCTTGTGAATAAATAAAATCTTTAAAAACAACAACAAATTGGCATCAGAGATAAATCTCTTGCCCATCTTGGACTGAGAGAAGAGTCAACCATTGGGGAACTAGAGAGCATGACTGAGGGTGAGGGAGTAAAGAGACAGAGGGAAAGCTATTTTGTTTAAGAAAGAGTTCGAGAGTTCGTGTTCTTGAAGTTGAGGAGAAATCCATGCCCCACACCCAATCCTCAAAGACCTATAATAACTTATCTAAAATGAGGAAGAAAAGGTTTTCAGTAAATGATCCATGTCAGGGGAAGCTGTGCTCCGATACTATGGGCAAGAATTTAGGCCAATGTACACTTTCAGGTAAGGAGTTTAAATCAGTCATCAACTTCCACAAGAAAAGTGAAATGGGA